AATGTGCAGCTGTTGGTATACAGTCAACTTGAACTTAATCCTTTTGATTTACGCGATTTCGTGTTCAGTAAGTTGTGTACCTATCTGTATGTAACTTCTCCGTTCAGAATATGGGTATTTCTGCCACGGAGTCGAAACAAATAAGAGGAGAATTTCTGCAGTCAGCTGCTGATCTGTTTGAGCAAGTCCTCTCGAAACCACCCACACCGAACATTGTGGAACTCTGGAATGAGCACAAAGAGATCAGAAAAGTTCTGGATGACATCACAAGCAGACAAGCTAAACTCTCTGACACCGACGTTCAGCTGTTGAAAGCTCGGTTGGTTTTCTGGTTTTTACTTACTTTCGTTTAGTCAGGTATTTGTTTTCTCATATTATTATTCTGACAAATGACTGCAACTTCCCATGAGACTTTGGTAAAATGGTATAGCTACCAGCTGACGACCGCTTATTACAACTATGGAAACACTCTTAGAAGCGCTACGTTACGTTACGCGTTACGTTAAGTTACGAGCGTTGGAACTACCTGGAAAACAGTGGTAGCACACGAGCAGGACTGAGATAGCATTCATACTTCGCTCAGATCGCATAACGGACCGCGAAGTATTAACGCTCTGACCCATAGAGTTCCATTGTAGTGTTCTCACGTTGCAAGCGGTGGGGTGCGGGTTTGCTCCTCGGTTGAGACCAGAGCTTCCGCTCTATTCCCGATAAGGGCTTTAAGTTAATTTTTGACATCCTTTCTATCTAATCAGCCCCTAGCAGCGTCGAGGGTTGACGCGGCGAATAAAAAAAGCTCCGCACTAGGCTGTGTGTGATGCGCAGCTTTAGGTCTAAAAGTCGTGAGGAGCATACAGCGCTGACTTGAGGGCTGAGGGCTCGGCTGATCCGCTTGCCATTATTTCGATCTCTTCAAGGGAAGTTCTTGACTTCTCCATTCTGGTTTATATTGAAATTTCCAATCCATTTGACTGCCTTTGGATTTATAGAGGTGTAATTTTCGATACTTTTCCAAATCCTCGAGAATTCTCTTTTTATCTCTAAGGTTTTCGAATGCGATGCTAGATACGACCGAACGGAAGTCTTAGTTTTCAATAGCTTTGTGTAAGCTCATCGTAAATTCGCCGTTTCGCGTACCGAGATACCCGAGTTTATTTTTTATTGTTTATTATTACTCTCCACCACACCTTCATAGATACCACCCGCGAATGTGACAGTTGGGCTCCCCGTTGTTACATCCATGAACGTCGATTTATGATATGTTACAGCACAGTGACGGATCATTGACTATTATCTGTTGACTAGACTACTACTCTACTGACTAGATTTCATCCATGTTTATTCAAGAAAGCATTACTCGATAGCGAAATGTGTATGTTCAATAAGTACTGTCTTTAGGTCAGAAAAAGATGTGGCGGATTTCATGTTATGGGCCGATCAAATCGGCATTAAACGTCATGGCGTTACTGTTTCCGAATGCGACGAAGTCGGCGGTTTAGGGCTACAGGCTTCGAAGTAAGTTGAATTCATAGATAATGGAGTATGCAAACGATTGTAGAGTCGCTTTTCTTTTCTTTTCGCAAATCAGGCGCAAATACACTCCTGAGGCGCGGTAGGAGTGGCCGAGTACTTCGTTTGAACATGGCGTAGGACGGGTTATTCATGGGAAACCCTTGAGACAACTGTAATCTAATCTTTTGTTTGGATGAGAGATGATTACAATTGTCCCTAAATGAAAATTTTTCACTAAAAGTAAAGCCGCTACCGTGTTCAGCTGAAGTGCGCAGCCACGGCTATCTCAGGGGCAAGGAGTAGTATAAGTTATTTCATTTCAGAGAGATCAAGGAAGGAGACAGGTGTGTGACAGTGCCGAGACATGCCATGATTTCTGTTGATCTCGCGAGAAAATCCGCAATTCTCAAGTGAGTTTGGATCGGGTATTCGTTTTGTAATCAATGCTTGCTTTGCTCCACATCGATACTTTAAGGAAGCTGTTTGAAAGCGAGGTCATTGTCCAGAACATGGCGAATGTCGGTCTGGCTCTTTTCATCTCCGCCCATCGAGTAAAATCTGATTCAAAATGGGCGCCGTATCTCAACGTGCTTCCTAGTTCCTATACAACTCCGTTGTTTTATTCGGAAGAAGAGTTGCAGGTATGTTCATCTGCACGTCCTGTTTTGATATTATTTCACAGAAAGCTCAGTTAAGCTTTGCTTACTGTAACCTTTGTCAGCTTCTGAAACCATCTCCAGTCTTCGAAGAAGCTCTTCTGTTCTACCGCACTGTTGCTAGGCAGTTCGTTTACTACTTACTTATGGTCGGTCGTAACGACGTCTATGACAATACAAGTCGTGTAAGTGAAAAGATTCATTGTCTCAGTGTACTTAGCTTTAGTTTTCATCGCTTATTCTTTGCCCTCAATTTATGGCTGCTTGATACACTCCTTACCCCGGATATGAGAAGGGCGTGGCTGCGTACTTCATGTGTGTATGGATGTAGCGACGGCTGCACTTCTGTGGAATATTTTCGTTTTGGGACAACTGTAGTCATTCCTTTGTCCGGCCCATGACATGAT